TTTTAGATTTTCCTAGTAAGAACTTTTTCATCCAATATCCAAATGGAGTAAACTAAAGGAAATATGGTATAAGTACAACAGTTTTTTGTATAATATTTGTAAACTTGTTATAATTTTAGTAAAATTTATATTATATAATAAAATGCATTTTTTTTTATAATTTACATTAATAATTACCTTATAAAATAAAACAGAAAAAACTGTAATTCCTATAACTAACGTTCCAATGGTTATAGCATTTGAAACTGTAAAAGATGAAGAATTGTTTAGATTATCAATATTGGATCTTAATTCTGAATGACTAATATCGATATTAGAATTTGTAAAAATTGAGCCTGTGAAACCGCCTTCTTCCCCTGTTCGAAGAGTTTCTTCTTGTAACTTTTCCTTTGCCTTTACCTTATGCACTACCTCGGATTCACTTGGTTCATCGAGATTTTCATGATTTCCTTCTCTTGATACCAACCTATCTGTATTTTCTCCTGAATTACATGTCCATTTATGTAAGTCCAGATTTTCCTTACCTGCAAAATATTTTTTAAAAGCAATACAAGTCTCTTTCTCACTGTGCGATTTTTTACACTTGTCTTTGAACTCGTTATATTTACTGATATGATCATTAAGATATGTCCTAAAATCTCCATTACAATTCCAATGACCTTTATTAAAATATTCGTTAAGCTTATTATAATCCTTCGAAAAATCAAATAACATCTTAATATCCCTATAATTTTCGATATTGATATTATATTCATCATACTTACATATATTCTGACCATCACTACTTTTTAGTAAAAACTGAATCACTTTTATAACAGATATAGAATGTAAATGAAATCTTATATTAGGATATATTATATAATTTAACCAATGGTACAGGTAATAACAATCATCAATATTAATGTCCCTCCTTTTATTTTTATTATATATATAACATAAGGCCTTAAGTATTTCGTTGGTAACATTATTGTTCCATAGCTCCTTTTTTATAGGAAAGTCTACATGATCGTAAAAATAAGCATCCATACAATGCGCATCATTATTATGGAAATTGGCATACATTTTTTTTGAAGGTAATTCATTTAGTTCATCATCCTATGCATAAAAAACAAATGATAAAATAAGTATTTTTTATTTATAAAAAAATATAAATAATTTAATTAGAAATATAGTATATTAAAATAAATAACAATTTACATTATATAAAAAACTTACCCCTAACTGAGCTCCCATTATTAACAAATGCTAAAACGTGATATATAAACAAAATAAAAAAAGCATATATTTAACTGTGTATTTACTAATGTATTGAAGATTTTCTAATATCATTTATAAAACTATATATAGTGCTATTTTGAATTAGGAATTTAGTGTGATTCATTCTGTCTATTTTTATAAATCTTTATGATATGTTATTATTTTAATATTATTGTCAATGAAATATGGAAGTATACTTGTTTATAGATTATATAATACATAAATATATATATATTAACAAACCATACAATGATACTTACAATATGAATGAGAAATGAATTATTTGTAATTCGTATTAATATACATAATATTATAGTGTATGTTACAGTTATAATATATATTATCTATAGACAGTGTTTTTAAACCAAAATGTCATAGATACTATAGGTTAAATTAAATATTTTAGGTATTTTTATACACAATATTATTATTTTTATTTCATATATATAATTAATATTAATAATGGTTCTTTGCGCATATTATAAAAAGAAATAAAGCTATACTTCTTCACGCTAATATTTTAATAGACTTCTTAAAATTTTATATTATTTTCTGAATTCGTAAAGTTCTCCCCCACTTCCATGTTATAATTATTATGTACTATTTATATATTGTTGATATTAACAATAATATTTTAATTCGCAAGAAGAAATAAATTATAAATATTTTTTATTTACATGCTACTATCATAATTTGATTATTATAACATATAAATTTTTTTTTATATTGTATTATATATTTACTGAAGTAATATGAACTCATAAAACTCTTTATATATTTGTATTTTCCTTATCGGGAAAATATATATATTTAAATTAAAAGTTTGGGAGTAATTTTCTTTTAAACATATGTGTACTTATTACTTTCTAATAAGAATAATTATATTATTCAACAATTGCATTAATATTTATGAAAAGTTAAGTTTATTCAATGAAATATATTTTTTAAATATCACTTATAAATATTGTATAATTACAAATATGTAAACCGAATTAATTCATAATAGCATTAGTATATGAGGTAATAACATATTTGAGCATATTTTCTCATGTACATGTATCATAGTTATAACATATCGAAATTATTTGTACATAAGGTGAACAATAACGTGATTATTTATCTAAACAATTTTTAATCTATGTATTTAAAATATATTGTATTTAAAACTACGTATAATGTTTGTAATTTCTATTAAATTAATGTATTTTTTAAAGAATTTTTATTATTACAAATTTTCTTTTTTTGTATTATTAATGATTTTATAATTTCAACTACTAATAACTCATATATACAGATGTTAATTTATTGTAATATATAACCAAATTACAAAAACATATAATTTTACGTATGTTCAATACATTTTATCATGTACATCGTAAGAGACTAAAAATATAATTACGAAATAAGAAAAATATATGTATAATATTAAAAAATTGTTCTATAATTTTTTTCAAATATATTTTAAGATTCAATGAAACAAGTAAATTAAAAAATACAATATCAGTATATAATATACAAATTATTTAAAAAAAGTATCATTTGCTAATATAATAACAAATTTAAATATAAAAATAAAAAATAGTATTATTTAAATGTACATATATTTCATAAATTCTATGCTTTTATTATAAGGTTGATTAAGAAATAGTAATATTGTTCTATTCTTTTTAAATATGCTATTTTGCTTTATATATATATGTTGTATTGTAAAAGTTCTGCTTATGTTATCTTATTCTCTATGTGCACACACGGTGTTTTCATTATAAATATTTAAAAGAACTGAATTTCT